GATATGACTGATGGAACATAAACCTTGCATACTTTATCTAGAAAAATTGACTTCCTCTAAATCATTGTCTTCGGCGACACGCGACTGTATAGCATTACTTACTCGGATACGTAAAGCCACCTCAACAACCATACGCTGGCGCTGTGTTCCCGGCAAGATTTTGAGCATAGAGCACATTGGCAATGCGGGCCTCGTATTTCCTAGTGTGCTCGCAACATGTAGTGAAAGATTCAGGCTTCAAAAATATCCTCAACGTCCACATACTGCAGAATCGTCTTGAATCCCGCCCATTGCTCCTCTGCACTCCCCCTGATCTGCGCCGGCGGCAGCACGAACCCGTGATTCCCCGTATCCCGAAGCTCAATGAGATATGCCCAGTCAGCCTTGCCCACCTTATACGCATAGTCAATGCTGTACCCTGTAGCCACGTAAAGCGTGGCACAGCTCGGTCCAAAGACAAACTGCGTGCCCTCGACCTCGCGAATGGCTTGCGTCGCGCGCCGTGCCAGGTTGATGTGCTGGCCCAGCTTGGGAATATACTGGGTGCAGTTCCAGCTGAGCGGCGCGAGGAGGTACTGGCTGTAGCTGTGCCAGTCGATGAAGAGCTTGATGCCGTTCGTGTCGCGAAGCCGGTCGATGAAGGCGTGCAGGCCGGCCATCTCGGGGGTGTCGCCTGGGGCCTCACCCTTGTAGCCGAAGTGGCACGGGTCAGCCGAGGCGCCGTTCGGGTTAGCATCCCACTTGTAGGGCCAGTTGCGGTTGATGTCGCAGCCCCAGCAGACTGTCGAGTTGTTAGGAGGAGGCTGCCTGTTTTTACGCCAAAGGCGGTCGTTTGTCTGCGTGTAGACGAATCCTGTGGCTGTCAGTCAAGAATTCGCTGGCATGCATTGCCTGACCTACCATCGGGGTTCACAAAAGGGAAGATGTAGAAGTCATAACTGTCCCGGGCGACAGTTGTCTGGTTGTCGTTGCGGTAGCCGGTCAGAAGCTGCAGGGTTAGGTATTCGATGACGGGTGCCGTGATCCATTCTCTGGCGTGAACAGTGCCGTGGAAGACAATTGCTGGCTTACCGGGGCCCTCATCTCCCCAGAAATGAATGCCAAAAATGTCTCGACCTTCATAAGAAGTTCCGGTAGAGATGATTTCCGAGTGATCCGGGTGAGCCGCGTGAAGTTCCTCAAAGTACGCCTTGTGGTCATCGTATGGGTGATAAGAGTCGTACCAAGCTAAGTCATCAATTTGCCTCTTCCACTCAGCGCCGGATGCAGACTCTGCGTTGATGGATGCGCCCAGGTCACCATGCATAACGTCATATTTAAGACCTAGGCTCTTGAAGGCTGGAATTTGCTCGGGGGAAAGTGTGATCGTGATATCGTCAGCGGTTCGCTCCCATTCGTCATACGAGAGCTTGGAGAGTTTTCTTTGCACGGCTGGGAGGTCTCCTCCGAAACGCACGCGAAGAGCCTGATATCCTTCGTAAGACACGATACTGTTGGCGGAAACCAATAAGGTAACCAAGTGGATGGCAGCGATGAACCTCATCATGAGTGACTGAAGAGCAGGGTACGTCTTACGATCAGCAACCTAATGCGAACATTTTGCATCGGGGTATCCCCGTCCTTTTGTATTCTCCAGCTGTTTTTGATCAACGATTGATTTGTGGTTCGCAAGTCCTTTGTGTTGGTCTCCTTCCCGAATCATGTTAGGCTCATCTTGGCCGCCGCTGCAACGCTATCCCGATGTCCTCATTCACCCACTGCTGATCGTCTTTCCTAAGATCAGCATGCTTCCGGCACTACTACGATAATTATGCAGAGGCGCCCGAAATCCAGAGGCTGTAGCGGAGCTTTCGATGGCGACATGCAGGACTGCGGTCCGGTGGGGTTCAGACTCTTGCCATGATAGCTCTGTAGCCAGGGATTTAGAAATTGAAATCAAGTGAATGAATCGAACTCCTTGCAAGCCGAGTCATGCATCATAATCAGACCCCTCCTGACTTGGCATCATCTGGCGAATTGACTGAATTGTGAAAAAGAGAGCGGGAGCACTAAAAAGCCAGGAACTCTCTTGGAACGCGAGATCGTTCTTTAGGTGTGCATTCAATTTGTAAGTTGAGGGACCAAGCCGCGAAAGTATACGAAAACGTTTCCATATCCATCGAAATCATAATCTAGATGCTTGGTCACTGATCACCATCGTACCAACTTGGCGCGTTGCGGGGTCGCCCCATGACGTGATATTTGAATGTGATGGCGAGTGGGACCGTGAAATCTTGAGGAGAAAGTGAAGTCGGCCTTAGAAAAAAGATTCAATTCCTTCCATAGGTAAATTGATGGTTCGGTCCGTATTCCAATCCCCAAAGTGCTTCGTCCAAGGTGCTTTGAGCTTGAAAGACAACACCAACATACGTTGGCGGAGGTCTACCACGCCCATCAACAATCACGCTTCGATTCCCACATGGCGACTGCTGTCGACACGCGTGTCGACCCAGGCTCATTCCAGTGGCCGGGGATTTCAATCTTGGCCAGACACGTTTCAATGTTGGGCATCTGAGAGTGATGGTGGTTTGGGGTGCGTCTCAGGCAACCAGCGAGCTTCTCCGTGATGCCGTCACTTATAAGAAAGGTGCTGTCCACCGAGTCTGCATACGCCGTAACCTTGATTTGGCACTCTATAGGAGGCGCGATCGAAACGCGATGCTTCCCTAATTGGAAAGACCCGCGGTGAGAAGGTGTCTGGCATGCTCTCGTTGAATGCAGGTTGGCCTGGCTCCACGGAAGACTGATGAGGGCGTTTGTGACGGAAACCAAGGCCATCATCCACAGGAATACTACCGTTGACTTTGTTCCCTTGGTTTTCCACGAAGCTGCGCCTTCCGCTGTGCTTGGTCTTTTGGAAGCATAAGGCGCATCTAGCACGGGAGATTTGACATTGTCGGCAGTCTCAGTCGTCCCAGACTTCTCTTCCCCCGCATTCGCAGTTCGGTCGATGGAACAGTCGATAGTGTGTTCATCCCGGGACCCAGATGTGAGGAAGCTCCACTGCAGAAGTGATGTGGTCAGTTCAACAGAACAGATATGAACAGATATGATAGAAATCGCTCCTCGCCGGATAATTGTCAAGAATGTGAACGTACTATGGCAGTGGTGATCCCAATGGCGACCAGTGACTGAGCAGTGCCCATGAGCAAGGTGCCCCTTGGGTCCCAGCCCATCTTCCACCATATGAATGGATTGACGAGCCAAATAAAGAGGGGTACAGTGATGTTGAAATGGGGATGTCTGTCGACAAAGCTAGGGACTGCAGAGTGGTTGAGAGTAGGAGACTGCTCTGGGTCATGATGAGTTGCGGCAGAAGATTCATGTTTGAGGCTCTCGTTGGTCTTCCAAGTCGCTTGGATCTCGTCGTCGGATGAGGCCGATGGCTTCGGCAGCAAGTTGGCCTTTTCAACATCGACTCCTAGCATTGTCGGGTCGATGCTACTGCGGCAGTCTGTTTCATCCGTGCTTTCATTCTTGTGCGACATGGTGTTTGGCAAACAGGACGCGATGCAAAGTGTTGAGCAATGAATGTGATGAGAAAGGTCAATCCTCAAGTGGGAATCGTTGAGCTTATATGACAGACATGTATCAGTGAGACATGTATCAGTGAAGCCTGTAAGTTTTTGACTTCTGCCTTTTGATGGACAAGGCAGATTTGGGGCGCAGGTGACTGGATTGGAAATTCTGTTGCCTGATTGTGGAGTGGGCAGTGATGATCTTCAAGAAATGGCCAAGTGGTGAAGCGACCAATGAAGGTGCGATGCAACATGCAGTTCAGTACGTATCTTGCCGCCTGGCGGCTTGACGCGTATCGAATGTGCCGAGCCTGCTCTTCTGAGTTCTGACAGCGAGCTGTACAAGTACTCGCCACCTATACACAGCCGGATCCTTGGGCATAGCCACGACGGTATTGGTGGGATTCGGCAGACAACAGTCTGATAGGGGTCCGTTGAAGGAGGATCTCTCATGGTAGCCTTTTCATTGTTGTAGACAATTAATTGATGCCTTTATTTTTAGTATTTGCACAGCCGCCAAGCCAGAAGATTCCTCTTTCAACGTCTTGTCACGCATCTGGGAACGGAGCACTGATCGTGATGCGTTTGCAGAGCACTCTGATATGGAATTATAGGGTCATTCTGGCAATTGAATGCTGTGACGGCATCATCCAGGCTGCGAGCGACTTTCTTGCTGCTTAGGGCCGGACTCGAGATTATATTTGACCCTGGGTACCGTCGCTTGTATATCTGGGAGATGACTGACCGCGATGCCGATGTTCAGCACCCTCATTCCACTCCAATCTTACCCCGCGCCACTTGCCCGAGGTTGATCAATGTAACCAGCTGAATTACCTTGTATGAAGTCAAGCAAGCAAAATTACATGTCCGTATCATGGCTCTATGATGCCGTTCATTTCCAACACGACCCATCACTATCCACCCTGGTCAAGCCTCATTGCCGTGATGATGGAGGGCGACTATTGAAGATAGGGTGGCCAAATGAATGGAGTACAGGGTAGAACCTTTCAATAATGATCAGTATCTGGAACTCCCTCAAGAGACACTGTCAGTGCAAGAGACACTGTCAGTGCAAGAGACACTGTCAGTGCAAGAGACACTGTCAGTGCAAGAGACACTGTCAGTGCAAGAGACACTGTCAGTGCAAGAAAGGACCTGGAGGGTGCTCCGGCTGCCTCCAAAAGTGTCGATGGCATCAAGCATGTCAGCCCCTGGTCTGTGGATGCAGAATGCGATTAGATAACAGATCGCGGGGCTCGTGTGGGGCAACGCTCAATTGACGCCCCCATGGAACCATTTTCGACCCTGAAGAGGCGAATTCTAGATCGAGGCCACCCCGCGCCGCTCTTGTGCCTCACCGCAACCCTCCCCTTGGCCGAGTCGCCCGCATCCCGAGAATCCCCTTTGGCCACGCCGCGATTGAGTCCCATTGCTCGGCACCTCGCTCGCTATCCACGAAACAACGTCCGCCTCGCTCACCATGTCCGGCCTCAGCTCCCCCGAGGTCGCCGCCGCCTACGACGCCGTCCGTTCCGACAAGGACGACATCACCTGGCTCCTCGTCGCGAACCCGTCGCCGACCTCGAAAGACCTCACCCTCACCAAGACGGGCACCGGCGACGTCACGGCCCTCGCCGCCGAGCTGCAGGACGACCAGGTGCAGTACGGCTACGTGCGCGTCGAGTATGCCAACGACTCGGAGAACACCCGCGTCAAATTCGCCCTCATCGTCTGGATCGGCGAGAACACAAAGGTCATGCGGAAAGCCCGCGTCAGCATCGAGGCCGGCGAGGTCCGTCGCGTCCTGGCGCACCACAGCATCCAGGTCAACGCGAGCGACAAGAGCGATCTCGACCTGCAAGACATTGTCAAGAGGTTGCGCAAGGCGGGCGGTGCCGATTACAACGGAGGGCGGGGTTGACGAACCGAAGGAGGGAAACAGAATAGAGGTCATCTTCAGGCACATCTCTGGGCGTGAGGAAGGGGCGCATGACATGCTGGAGAAGAACGGAGACACAAGAGTTGAGGAAAGCGTTGCGATTTCGGGGCGAGAGCGACTATAGATCTGCACACTGCGTCACGAACAAAATCGACCCAAGCCAGAGCACCTTGCCGCGGCATTTCAAAACCACCCCCCTTTCCCTTTGCTGGTCGTTTATGCCCTGGTACCACAGCTTGACCGACACATCATCGAGATTTAATTGTCTGACACTACGAGCAGCGCGTCAATGGTCCGGTCTTTCAGCCCTGTCAGTTTGTTCTTGTCCGCCCAGCCCAGCAGCTGTGGCATCACGAGGAGGGGCTCCACCCTCTTCTGGCTCAAGAGGTAACAGACGGCGCCCGCAACGTGGGGAGACGCTGTAGAAATGTTAGGGTTCTTCTTTTTGATTAAAATCGCCAAGGCCTTGGTTAGGAGACCTACCCATCGATGTCCCGTCGAGAGATTCAACGGCATCGTCGCCAGTGTTCCACGAAGACTTGATATCTACGCCAGGCGCGAAGATGTCGACAACTGGTCAATGTGAGCGCCTTTTTCTCATGGTCACGGTATGCCAGACTACGCACCCTTGCCCGAGCTCGTGAAAATCGCCCCGGCATCCTTGACGTCGGACGCTCCAACGGTAATGGCCAGGGGCTCGCGAGCCGGTGACCCGCGATCAGCAAGTCGCTGTTCGGAACATGTCAGCGTCCAGAGGCACAAAGCTTATCACCCGAGGTTCTACTCACGCCATCGTTGCCAGCCGCGACAACGACCACGATACCAACCCTGACAGTCGAAGCCACCGCCGCATCAAGCGCCGCCGAAGCGCCGCCGCCAAGGCTCATGTTGACGACCGAAGGCTTGCCATGCGACTTGACCTGGTCCACGACCCACTCGAGCGCCCTGATGATATCGGCATTGGTCGCGCCAGGCTGCGGGTCGTCGTTGAAGACCTTGACGCCCACGAGCTCGGCCTTCTTCGCCACGCCGTACGTCTTGCCGCCAATGGTGCCGGCGACGTGGGTGCCGTGGCCGTCGCGGTCCTCGTCGCTCGCCGGCCGCCCCTGCGAGAATGTCGGGCCCTTGGACGCCCGGCCCTCGAATTCCTCGTGCGTGTCGCGGATGCCCGTGTCGAGGATGTACGCCACGGTGCCGGCGCCGGCGTTGGCGTCGTACTTGTACTCCCACGGTCCCGCGGGCGCCACGCGGCCCCGCTGCGAGATGCGCGCCAGGCCCCAGGGCGCGTTGGACTGCACGGCCGTCGCGCCGGCGGCGGCGCAGTGGCGGTATACCTGCAGCGGCTCGACGGCCTGGACCTCGGGCAGGGCCTCGACCTCGGCGCGCGTGGCGTCGTCGAACTTTGCGCTGTAGCCGCGCAGCTCGGGCAGGGCAAAGTGGCACTGCACATCGCAGTTGAAGTGCGTGTCCGGGTCGGCGGTGCGCGTGCTCAGCAGGGAGGCGTGCTCCGAATCGATGGACTCGTTGGCATAGGGCTTGAGGGTGACGAGCCACTCGCCGGGGATGATCTCTCCTGACATGATGATATTGGAGGTTGGTGCTCTTGCGTAGTGGTGTATGGATGTAAGCGCGGTTAGCTACTTCTGTGCTCAAGTCGAATCTGATGCTTCAGCAGCTTCTCATCAGATCTTGCTCAACAGCCCATGAGACTGGTCTTTATACCCATCGTCGATCGCGTTGCTTTGCTTTTTCTTCACGTCATATGCCACCGCCCAGGCAACAGTCACAGTCACAAGCCCTCAGACGCCACCGGCATGCAACGGCGCTCTCTTCAGCAGGTTGCATTCAGACATGCTCTGAAGCCTTCATTCAGCCAACCGTGGGACTCGCTGCACCCGTCCACAACCAGACGCCAAAGTCACGTCGTGGGATGCCGAACAAGCAGCTGAGCAGCCTCGACGAGCGTGCTCACGGCCAGACGCGGGGTAGGTGTGTTCCGTGGGCGGCGGGCGCGTACCACAGCCTCTCCAGTCGGCTCACGTTCCTTGCCCCTACTTCTACAGTACAAGTACAGCCCGCGCTCCCGCCGAAGCTGTGATGAGACTAGTGTGCACGGTTCGAGGACGTCCAATCGAAGCTCCCTCCACCTCGGCGGCTGAGATGCACAGTCGGCAAGATGAAATGGTGAGCCGAAGAAGTACGTTTGCAGGCCACACATGGGACTGGCTTCTTGATTCTATCGGATCTAGGCTTTGGGAAGGGGGGGCGGGGTCCAGCTCTGGGAGGAGGGCTGCGTATGACATGTTGTGCTGAATAGAGTTTAGGGAGGCGTTGGGCTGCGTGGGCGGGAGCTCTCGATTGGCATGGCTGTGCAACGAAGCTGTGAAACGGGACGGCTGAGCTTCGGTGGGCGAGTAGCGTCAATTGAGTTTTGACGACCTGCCCTTCATTGCATGTGATGTGCGAGAGAGGCTTAATAAATCGAGTCAGACGCTTCGCCGTCGATCATGTTGCACCTGGCATGATGCTGTCCTTTTGGTGCCGAGATATTCGCCAATGCTCGCCGTGATGGGCATGGTCAGAGAAGGTGTGTCGTACGAGACAAGTGGACTCTTCGGCTGTGTCTGCGAATGCGTCAAGTGGCAAGGCCTGGGCAGGTCGGATGGCGCATGGAGATGCAGTCGACTCAGAGTTCAGTTTCAGCTTCATTGCTGTCACGTCACGCGGATCGTCCCGAGCAATAATGGGATGGATGATGGAAAAGCAAGAGGAGGATGCTGCTGCGGGCGTTGACGAGAGGAATGCACTTGAGAGGGGATGTCCTTAAAAGCAGTATATACAGTAAAGCGGTACAGGATCTATATGCCGTAAACCGAGCTACCCCGCTACCCCGCCGTCAACTGTCCCAGATCATCGTCATCACTTGGCTTTAACCCAGGAATCTAACGAAGATCATATAATCCGATTGTCGGACAGTATCTACACGTTTCATACTTCTTTGAAAGCTTATACTCTGATTGAGCCTCATCGAAGGCAGCGGCTGGCATTGTCCGACCCTCAAACTCGGATCGTTGACTCGCATCTTCGGCCCGAGCCTCTACTTTCGATCCAGATGCACGTCACGACCTGTTTCGTTACTTGGCACAGGTACATGCCAAGCTACTGAACTGACAGTGTGCAAATATCTCGCCATGGTTTCTAGGCAGGCTGTGTACAAGCCAATCTCGCGATCTCTGTGCAACCAACTTGGCCGTCACATTGGCGATGATCCCGCCAAAAGTACCTGATGAACGAATAAGCAACGAAAAGGCCCACCAGTAACTCTCAAATAATCGTACATCCTTACCATGGACACGTCAGAGGCTTCCGAAACCCTACCCACCTACGCAGACCATCGCACCACCGAGCTCGTGCCCGCCATCACTGGTCCAGCACCGCCAGACCTCTTCCGGAGCAGGTCGCGCGTTGACTCTCTGCTCTCCGCGGTTTCCGATGCCGAAACTGAGTCGCTGTGCAAGGAACCGCCAGTCGACTTGACTCTCCCGCCTTCCTACCGTCGCTGCGATCCTGAAGCCCGCATATACGCCTTTCACCCCCCTTTCGTCTCCTCCAAGCACGGCCTCGGTCACGAACCCGCGGCCCCCCGTTTCCAGCTCAGCCAGGTCATCTCCAGCCTCGGCAAACCATTCAAGCTCAGCCTTCGCCGCCTCACTCCCTCCGAGAGCCGCCGCATCTCTATCGGCGGGCCTTCAAGTCCACCTCGCCCTTCTGTAGCTGCATGGACGTCTTCCGCTGCATCCTCATCTCGCCTCCGCCGCGTTGTCTCGGCCTCAGCCTCAGCCCCAGACTATGATCACGATCTCACGCTCTACGAGGCAACCAACGTCAACGCCCTGCACCGTTTTACCCCTGTGCGGCACAACCCCGAGATCAGAGGCTGCAAAGCCGGCACGCTGCCGGGCCACATTGAGCTGGCGGACGTGGCGCGCTCCGGCGCGTGTCGATTTTGGCATGTCACGTCGCAGCCACAGGCGGCGCTCGAGGCTGCGAGGGCGAAAATGACAAGATGGGGATACAAGCCCGACGAGGAGTGGCGCCGTCGAATCCTCTTCACCGTGGAAAAGCAAGGGGGTAACCTGGTGTGGCGAGACGGAGACACGGGAAGGAAGCTGGCTTCTGAGGTCGAGGGGCAGCTGGAGGTGGAGTCCGGCATGGAGCTGTCGCTGGTTGAAGCACTCGTCGCGTGTGCTGCGTGCCGGGGATGGATATTGGGCTGGTGGGATTGGGGTCGATGAATTGTGCCCTGGTCCTGTGCACACCTTGTCTTTGTAACATACCGACACACCATCTGTACATTGCTTGTACATGGCATATCTTTGGAGAGCATGGAGATGAAGAAATTGGATATCAAGAGAATTTGCTACACATCAATAGCACACGCACTCAGTGGTTCGGTCCCGGTCCTAGCGACTTATCCATCGTCCCCTTGTGCTCGAAATCTTTACGCGCAAACTCGCGCTCGCCGCCAGCCGCAACGGCAGCATCCTTGCGTTGGCCCTCCTTGTCACCAAGCAGTCCATCGACACCGGCGTTGAAGTGGCCGCGGACCGATTCACCCATGCCCTGCCGATTCCTGTCAGTGGCTTGCTATATACTGTTCAACGCTGGGGATGTACTGACGTGGCCTTGGGCAATCACACCCTTGACGCCCTCTTTGAGACCCCCCTTCTTATGGCCGTCGTCGACCGTAGCGTGTGTGCCGGTATCGGTTCCCGCCGTGGTGCCAGCGGCAGCGCTCGTCGGACCATGACTGATGCCGCCCGGCCCATGCGTCGTCGTGGTCCCGCTCGATACACCCTGTGTGTTCTGGCCCCTGACTCCCGTCGCAGGAATAAATGTGTTGGCTGTCGCGCGACCGTCGCGATCAGAGTCGATGCGGGGATCCGCGACGTTGCCCGCCCTCGTGGCATGGGGTCCATGAGTGCCAGTGGGGTCATTGTAGCCCGTCACGCCACGGTTGCCAACAGGCTGGTTCTCGTATCGCGGGATCTGGTCCTCGTGGCCGGTCGCGGGGACGGAAGCGTTGGTGGCGGCGCGACCGTCGCGGTCCGAGTCGACGCGGGGATCGATGGCGTTGCCGATGCGGGAGTGGTGGGGTCCGTGGGTGCCGGCGGGGTCGTCGTAGCCGGTGGCGCCGGGGACGGGAGCGGCCGTGTTGTTGAAGTTTGACATTTTGAACCTTGACTAGTGTCTTGCAGGAATGGAATGATGGGTATGGTGATCAAAGAATATGCTGTGTAAAGGGTGAGACCGAATCATCAAATACCCCAGCAAGCCCAAGTAGCATCTCGGAGTCGAGGTCCCTGGGGTTGAGCTATGACGGTGCCATGCCGTAGTGCCTGACGGCTGAGGTCATATCTCCATATAATAGCCTCACGCCCTTGGGAAATCCTGGACGTGAGATTAGTCTCTAGCCAGTAGATTCGAGAGAAGCAGAGATCGGTGATGGCTCGCTGCTGTCGCCTGTGGACCTTTGCTCCGAGGCCGCGTAAGAAACACGGCCGGGACAGTGCTTGGCCGTGACGTCACATCATGGACCTTGCGCAATGCCTTGTCGCTCAAGGGACCTCGATATCAATCTACAATCACTGCAAATCATGGTCAACAAGTGTTTCATCGACGCGGAGATTTTCTACCATGGCGGCTATCAATGTCTGCTGTCTAAAGCGCTTTTCCTTGTCGCGCCTGCTCTGAATCGCCTTTCATGGATAGTTCTGCGTCTTTCATCTTGCTTTGGGCGCCCCTCTGAGGCTCACAACCGTGACCTATGGAGCCGTGCTACCTTCAAGCACTATCCTCCCTGGTCATCCAAGTATCATTGCTGATGGTGAGCCATGCATAAAGCTCGACCAACAGGCTACCCACCGTGTCCATGAGGAACAAAGCCCAGACATGGCGCTTCATCCAGGGATATTTCACGGCAAAGTTGCGGTACGGCTGGTAATAGAGGAAGGCATACCATGCCGTGATGACAAGCCTGTTACCGTTAGCCTTGGCGCTCCACCAAGTTCACCTCGCTCCATCAGTTAGGGTCACTTACCAGAGGTGAGGATGCATCTTGCAAGCTCGAAGCCAAACTCCGAAATGCACCAGAGTGATCAAAGGGCGAAACACCCGCTCCAGCATCTTCCTAGCCTTGTAAGGAGTCTCGCGGCGCATCTCGAAAAAGCCAGGGGCCCAGAGGAGAGCCGACGAGAAGAACATGTGCGAGTTGCGCAGCCAGCGAGCACGCTGGCGCATGACGGTGCGGTCAACCAGCGGGATCGTGTGCACCTCAGCGCCGTCAGCAACCTGGTACGCCATCTTCCAGCCCTGCGCAACCACCCAGCGAGTGATGAAGGCGTCGTTGCCTGTGCGGATGGGCACGCCGCGCCAGGTCTCGTTGATGAAGCCGTGAAGGAAGGCGGGGTCGCGAAGGATATCGCCGCGGATAGCTTGAGCGCGGCCGACGAGCACCCAGGTGTCCTCGTCGGCGCCGAACCGGGCGGCGGACGTGTTGTGGAAGGTGTCGAGGCCAAAGACGGAGATGGCCTCCCAAGGCGTCGAGATGGCGGCATTGCGACGTTCGAGCGGAATGTCGGCAAGCTGTTTGCCTCCCACAGCTCCAATGCGGGGATTTTCGAGAGGAGCAAGAAGCCAAGGCACAACTTTCGAGTTGGTGCAGAATGTATCGTCGTCGGCCAGGAGGATGATTTTACCAGTGGTCATCTTGATGCCATGGATTTGCTGCTGGCGTTGGTTCGCGTGGTTGATGGCCAAGACTTGGATGGTGTCCTGTCCGTGCTCGAGATCAGATACGAGCTCCTTGACAGCCTCCAAGTCGCGAGTGATGGTGACGATGATGATTTCTTTGGGCTTGTTTTCGAGCCAGAGACGCAGTGCACGGGTGAAAGAATCATCCGGCTGGATGGTTGCGATCACAATGCTCACGTCCGAAGGGGCAAATGTGGGATTCTCGGCAAGCTCAAAAGGCTGGCAGCGCCAGGCGTAAGCTGATGCAAGGTTGCGCTCAAGCATGTCCCAGAGGCTGCGTTGTCAGCATACTTGGACAAAAGAAACCCTCAAGTACAGCAGGTCAGCTTACCAAAAGGCCACGAGGGCATTGCCCGATATATCCAGGCCAGTGATGGAAGCCATGGTGGGTATGTTTTACGTTTTGCGAGTTGATGATATTGTGAGTCGGTCAGGATTGCAGGTTTCCTAAAGATCAGGTTTGGGGGCTTGATTTATAGACTATGAGACTGGACTGGAGGGCAGTGAATGAAAGAGGGAGCACGAATTTACTGACTGTGCCCTAGAGGTGAATGTTGTTCTACTCGTCGTGGGGCGCTCCATGATGATTTACTGTTGACAATGGTTCATGAAGCAACCGAGTCACTGGGTCATAAACGCAATATGCTCATTATCATTCAAAGGGAAGTATATCCTGCTTGTCAACGAAAAACAAGAGTTCAGAATGAAGCCTACTGTTTCATTGTTCCGGGAAGTCATATAATACATTTGCCACGTAGCTTTGGCATGACCATCGCGTTATACTCCTCCCGCAATTGATTCTGAGAGCAGGAGTAATCACTTTGAATTAGGATGGAAAGTAAGAACGACATGAAAGCTTCTGCATGGGCAGTTCTCCAAGGGAAATGACCGCTATCAAAACAAACCCGATGAGACAGTATGTATGAAGCTATACATCGCGAAGGATATCTACTTCGGGAACCGATTTGCGCATGTAGTGCTAATCAATGTGGCAGACGTATCTGATACCCTGATGCCATCGCAGACTATTCCCCCTAGGCTCTCTCGACTTTGAACGTTGCCGTTTCGCACCTTCTGCGAGGCCCTTGTTGAACCCAGGGTATGGCCAAGGGCATGGTCAAGCTGCGTGTCGACATTCCCAAAGCTTCAGGCATCTCCAGACAAATGACACGTCCAAAAAAAAAAATTCACCAGTCAGAATGTCGAACATTTCAGTGTATGTCTCCCTTCGTCGTCACATGAGGCCTTCTTCCGAATCGCCGTTTCAGAGCACCGTAGCCGTACTTCCCGCCGATCAGCGCAAATGTCCCGCGGGAGCCTGAGCCACAGCTGTGCCTCTCGGCGGCGCAGTCGGCTCACGTCGACCTCAGACACGACCAACCCCCTTCCCCCCTCCCCTTGCCGCCCTCGCCTCGTCCTTCCATCAGGCACCAGCATTTGTCCTCTCCATAAATCCTTCCATCTTCATCTCTCACATCATCTTCCCGCCATTAGACCGTGCATCTTTGAGCTTCATCATCAATTGACCAACTGATCATTCGCATCTCCAATCTGCCGAGTCCGTGCTCCGTGGCCCGTCATGGATCCAATTGCCAACGGTCCCCTCAACGGATCCTTCAATGGACCACTGCCAGCCAACATTGTCCAGCTGCGGAAACACTTTGAGCGTCTCCACGCCACAGGCGGCGATGCTGCCGTGCGACCGACTCTCTGCGGCGCTTTGAAATATGCCAGCCCGTCCCAGGCGAGCACGTCGAGCTCCCCAGTCCCGCCGCCGGCGCCGACGCCGGCTCCACGATCTGAGAAGCACAGTGATCCCGCCACCAGGCAGTATTTTGACCATTCGATGGGCACACGTATCAACACGGATGCCCTCATCACCCGCTCGCTGTCTGATGAGTACCCCAACCTTTCGGTCACGGTGGTGCCCGCGTCCATGCTCACAGGCGATGCCTTTGACCTCCTTTCGTTCGCTGCCCAGGGCAACGCATCAGTCATCCCACTTGAGGACAACAGCTCCCTGCCCGATTCGCTCGAATGGACATTTTATGTGCCCCCCTTTCGCCGGTTGAATGGCTCGGTCGGCTTCATCGCCGAACAAATGCTGTACGGCCGCTTCCTTTACAAATGGGAGGGCCATGAATTTATCATCTACTTCGTCGACGGTCGTGACGGCACCGACCCATGGGGCGCCTCTCGAAACTGGTACATCCTGACGCCCCAGCGTCACAACGCCGATGCCCTCGTCAGGACCGTCAGCGCCTGGTGCTCCGAGGTGCGCAACGAGATCCTCGTCTACGACGGCGGCTGGTGGCAGAGGTCCGCCGAGCTGTGGGACAGCGTGCAGTCGGCCAAGTGGGAAAACGTCATTCTCGACGAGAGCATGAAAGAGGCCCTCATCAACGACCACCTCTCCTTCTTCAACAGCCACGACACGTACGAGAAGCTGCGCGTCCCCTGGAAGCGCGGCATCATCTACCACGGCCCGCCCGGCAACGGCAAGACCATCACCATCAAGGCCACGATGCGCATGCTGCAGTCCCTGTACCCCTACGTCCCGACCCTCTACGTCCGCAGCCTCGACTCGTGGAGCGGGCCGTCGGCCGCCATCTCGCAGATCTTCAACAAGGCCCGCGAATTTGCGCCCTGCTACCTCGTCCTCGAGGACATTGACACCATCATCACCGACGACGTGCGCAGCTACTTCCTGAACGAGGTCGATGGGCTCAAGTCCAACGACGGCATCTTTATCATTGCCAGCACGAACCACCTCGACCGCCTCGACCCGGGCATTGCTGTGAGTATCCCCCCACTTTCGTGATTCCCTTTTCGTAGGTAAAGACCCCCGACTGACAAGACGCAGAAACGCCCCTCCCGCTTCGACAGGAAGTACCTTTTCCCGGACCCCAACGTCGACCAGCGTGAAGCCTACTGCCGCTTCTGGCAGGCCAAGCTCAAGAGCAACAAGGAGATTGAGTTCCCGGACCGCCTGTGCCGCGCCATTGCCGAGATCACGGACAAGTTCAGCTTTGCGTACATCCAGGAGGCGTTTGTCGCGGCGCTGCTGGCGCTGGCGCGGAGGGGCAGCGGGGCCGGCGAGAGGCGGACGAGCGGGGGCATCGGCTGATGCGTGGATCGTGGTGAGTGATGACGCGGGCGACGGGCTCGACAAGTTGGTGCTCTGGGTCGAGATCCAGAAGCAGATTGAGATTCTCAGGGAGGGCATCGATGACGGCAACGGGGAGGAGCAGTGAGGGGTTCGTTGTGGCCGGCGTTGGACGGAGTGTGCTGGAACTTTACGACTGTATGAATGACACTTTTTTTGATCACTCTGGGGCGCAGATTAGCATGAACAGTGGAGTCGCAGGGAAATGATGCTGCCTGCACAGCACCAGCTTCTCCCACGATGGCCCGATTTATTGCTTGTTAAGATGAATTTGTGTATTTTTGTATAGAGTGGCTTCATTACGACTCTGCTCGAGATGTGCTTGTTTCTTCCCTCATTATGAAAAGATCAATTCGGGCAATGGCACCAGAGGTGCACTGTGCATCTCCTATTGGGAATTTTGACCGTGCTCCTCATTTAGAGCTCGCTCTACGTGTTTGATTCAAGATCTCTGCGACACCAATTTTTGATTTCAGCCATTTTTTTCTACGTGTCAAAACCACAAGGAAAGCAGATTGAAGGGGAAAGGCAGCAAGAAAAAAGGGGTATCGTACGAGTCGTGCATATGTGCTCAAATCTGCCCTCACGTTAGCCAGACGCCAGCCCTATCAGCAGAAAGCCATCTCACCAGCTGCAGCTCCTCCCTCCTCGGAAGCCTCGTCCCAACAAGCAGCGCCCTCCTCTTCTTCGGCACGCACTGCAACCTCTGAAACGCAACGCGCACATGCCGCGCCGCAACAGCCTCCCTCTCCCCGCGGGCACCGCCAAACAGCCCCTCAGCCGTCGCCTTCTCGCGCGCCGCCGCCGCCACGGCGACGACACGAACGCCGAGGCCCTCGCGGGCCTGCACGGCCATGGCCTCGGCCGTCAGGCGCTTGACCATCTCGGAGGTGACGAAGCCGAGGACGTCGAGGACGTCGTCGCCGGCGCGGTGGTCGGCGATGACGCCGAGGCCGGCCCAGGCGCGGAAGCGCTTGATCTTGCGCCAGGTGAAGGAGGCGTGGCGGTACTCGGACCAGGTGGCGTACTCGTCGACGGTCATGTTGCGCGTGCGCTCGTCGTCGCGGCGCAGCTTCTCGAGCGAGGCGCCGCTCGTCAGGGCGTCGGCGGCCGTGGCCGTCGCGGCATCGTCCGAGTCGGGCGGCTGCTCGGCGAAGAAGGAGGCGAGGTCCCAGGGCAGGTGGACGGCGGGGATGGCCTTGATGGCGGAGGCGCCGGCGGTGTCGTCGACGTCGGGCTCGTCGTCGGCGGCGGCGAGGGCGTCCTTGTCGTCGGCATCCTTGACGGTTTTGCGGATGGCTTTCCAGGTGAGAAAGGTGCGCAGGCGGTCGACGCGGGGCGTGTCGTGGCGGAACTGGAAGATGAGGTCTGCGACGGTGAAGAGGCGGGCGCCGCGGCGCAAGGCGAGGTCGTTGGCTGTGGTGAGCTGGGTAGAGTGAGCAGCTGGGGTTAGCCGTGGGGAAGGTTGTAGGAGAGACGGACCATGTGGACGACTTGGCCGTGAATGATGCTCTCAATGAGGGTTGTCGTCTCGTCGGAGGTGTCCTGGGTCTCGCCGGCAATGTACATCATCTGAGGGGATGTGAGTGGACTGACTCGAAGATAGGGGTACTTCTTGAAGGGACCACCTGCTGAATCTCCTGTTTGAATTGAGGGCTGGTATTGGCCATGGTGTCACAGGGATGGAGAGTAGGTCAAAATATCGGGATCATGGGTGGTCCTGATGCCAATGAATACACACAAGTACGAGATGGACATGAACGATAAAGGGAAGACGCAGGCTTGAACTTTGCTAGATGATACAGAGGCAAGCGGATACAGAGGCAAGCATCAGATTCGAGCAATCCATGCACGCCATGTCCCTTCGTGTGAAGAAACAAAGTCATCGAGATCCATTTATAGAGCATGAAGGGAACATATAAGTGCGAATATGCGGCGTGCACTGTATCACGAACTGGTAGGGTCGCGGGTTGAGAGAGCGAAAGATGGTGGAGTGAAGGGAGTTGGGGAATGGTCTTCCTTCGGACGGTCGAGGCTCGTCAGACTGAACCAACCCTAACCCACGAATACGGGTTCTTGATTCGTCATCGCCTGTACCAATGGTGACTGCAGCTTCTGCCCCACATATGTCCTGGCGTCTCGGTCTCTGTCAACGATAAGGCAGCCTTTCCGCATTTCCATCCTCCTTTCGACAGGACCGACTGACTCCTTGACAAGACTTTGAAGGACTTCGAAAGAATCCTCGTTCGACGACCGACAGGCTTCATTGGAACCGAAGAGGCGCAGATCGTTTGCCATGGCCATCTCGACTCGGCACATCGAGACCGATGGCAGCCACCAGTCCTTGCCTCTTGGCCCCGACATTCGCCTGTCGCCATGGGCACGAAACACTCTCCTCTTGCCTCGCCATGAGGACGATATCCTGGCCTCCTGTCTCCCGTCTCCCGTCCTCCACCAACTGCTCTGTCTGTCCTAGCTGCCTGTTTCTGCAATGCCGTAGATGAGGCCATGGCCTGTTCCGCAGGTACACTTTGCGAAGTGCCAAGTTCATCAAAGCCAAGTTCATTTAGCCAAGATCCATCGACCCACAACGAAAGTACGAACATCAAGACCACTATCTCTCATCCCACCAAAGGGCCGTTCAATCCAAAGTCAATCCAAAGGGCGGCATCATGATCATGCCTGGTCCTGCTGCTTGCACTTCAAGGTACATTGACCCCACCTGGCGACACCTGGCCCCACGTCAACGTCACCTCATGTCTCACCACCAACCACATCAAGATCGAGACACCATCCGAGATCCGAGCCCTCCGGCTGACTACATCGTTTCGACCTCATCAGACTTGGCAAAACTCATCTCACGCCTCATCATCTCATAGACCCCAGCAGCATCAAAGAATGGACGCAAAGACGGCAGCTTCACACGCGGCAACCGTCCAGAGCATCGCCGCCGCCGTCAAGACCTTCCACGCTCGCCGCCAGCCCTTCCGCATCCACCACGGTTCCACAAACTCAACACGCCCCGCCCACGGCCAGCCCGTCGTCGACATATCCGCCCTCAACCATGTCCTTCATGTGGACAAGGCCGCAAAGACCGTCTCGGTCGAACCCAATGTCGCCATGGACGGCCTGCTGGATGCCGTCCTGCCCCACAACCTCGTGCCCCCCGTCGTCATGGAGTTCCCCGGCATTACCGCCGGCGGCGCCTTTGCCGGCTCGGCAGGCGAGTCGTCGTCTTTCCGCCACGGCGCCTTTGACGCCGCCGTCACCTGCGTCGAGATGGTCCTTGCCAACGGGGACATCATCGAGGCCTCGCCCACCCAGAACGCCGACCTCTTCGCCGCCGCCCCCGGCGCCCTCGGCACCCTCGGCATCGTGACGCGCCTCGACCTGCGCCTCCTCGACGCCGAGTCCTACGTCCGCGTCGAGTACAGCCTGCACACCACCGTCGAGGCCACCTGCGCCGCCGTCGAGGCAGCGACGCACGTCGCCGCCAACGACTTTGTCGAGGGCATCCTCTTCAGCGCGACCCAGGGCCTCGTCATCACCGGCACCATGTCGCGCTCCATCCCCATCGACGTCACGCTGCGCACCTTCTCCCACGCCCGCGACCCCTGGTTCTACCTGCACGCCCGCGACCGCGCCGCCGCCCTCGCCGCCCTGCGCAAGGGCCAGGCCCCGCCGCCCGCCGACTACCTGCCGCTGCGCGACTACCTCTTCCGCTACGACCGCGGCGGCTTCTGGACCGGCGCCCTGGCCTTTGCCTACTTCCGGCCCCTCGTGCCCTTTACGCCGCTGACGCGCCGCCTGCTGAACCCGCTGATGCGCACGCGCAACCTCTACCGCGCCGGCCTCGGCGGCGGCAGCCGCATGACCTTCCGCTACCTCGTCCACGACCTCGCCGTGCCCTACGCCGCGGCCCCCGCGCTCGTCGACCACCTCGTCGCCACGAACCCCGTCTGGCCTCTGTGGCTGTGTCCGCTGCCCGCCATCGCGACGCCCACCTTCCACCCGGCCACCGACCCGCCCGGCGCGCCGTCGCTCAACGTCGGCGTGTGGGGCCGCGGGCCCCACGACCTCGAGGCCTTTGTACGGACGAACCGCGACCTCGAGGCCAAGGTCCGTGCCCTCGGCGGCCGCAAGGTGCTGTACTCGCACGCCTACTACGACGAGGACGACTTTTGGGCCATCTACGGCCGCGCCTGGTACGACGAGCTGCGCCTCAAGTACCACGCAACGACGCTGCCCACCGTCTACGACAAGGTGCGTGTCGACATTGAAAAGGAACGCGCGAAAAAGGGTCTCGTGGACAGGCTGGCTGTGAAGTGGCCTTTTGCCGGCTTGATCGGCGTCGCCTCGGCGTTGCGCTCATGAGATAGATACAGTAAACCCCCTTGATACCCGCCCGTGCATGCTTCCCTTCCATGTACAAGTACATAAAGATGGTAAAAGTACAAGAGTCAAATTCGCTTCCCGAATGGAGACCACAATGGAGGCCAAGATTAAATGCCACAAATTCAATCATCGCCTCGGGCCCTTAGGAAATCCTCCGCGACGCCCTTGTCCAACCTCCACCGCTCGCTGCCTTCGACAAATTCGTTGATCACAGTCTCACGCCAGCCGCCCTTGACATCCTCGAGATAATCCGCCCTGCCCAGCGCCCAGCTCAGCGCACCATCCGCTCGTGCGCCGCCGGGCTGCCTCAAGAGTCCGACGGTGATATCCACCTGCTTCGGCCGCGTGCTGCTCGTGTAGAAAACAGAGGCGGCACATCGCCCGCAGAAGAAGCGCTCGACGCCCTGCGAGCTGCCATACACTTTCATGGTGCCGAGCCCCGCCACGCCTCGCAGGACAGCGGCCTTGAGGTCAGCTACGTTGGTCGGAAACCCGAACCACTCGCCGGCAAACTTGACGCGCGCAATCGGTGCGAAAGCCCAGCAGACAATGTCGGAGCCCACCGTCGTGCGACACGAGTCGCAAGCGTCGAGCGTCGCCAGGTACCGCTTCGACTCGGGATCGACAATCGCGCGCCACGCTTCCGCGTCTTCGGCACGCGCGCCGTGAAGTACGAGGTGTACGCCGCCGCAGTGGCATCGCAGTTCCGTTTCGCTGGACTCGGCGCATGCCTTGCTTGTTGCTTGCTCGGATGCTGTGGTTTGGCCGAACCACGGCGCGGCCCCTCCGTCTTTCGTGCCTTCCATGCCCTTGTGCTTGCTGTAGCGCACGAGTCCCTTGTTCTTTCCGAGAACACCGGTGATGACTCTCAACTGGCCATTTTCTCGCTGAAACATTTGCGACGAACATGTGGCACACGAAAAGGTCTCGACGGTCTTGGAGACGGCGTATGCTTTCAAGACAGAGACGTTCTCCTCGGGCGTCGGCCACGGCGCCGTGGCGAGGAACAGACCGCCAGTCAAGTATCGCGCGCCATCGCTGTGGTCGACGGTCGCTTCCAGAGGCAAGGTTGATGTAGGTACCGAAGCAGTAAATGTGTGTTTTCTGCAGAGGCAGTGCGCCGTGATTGCCACGTTTGCTGGTTGCATCTTGGCCGGACTAAAATCGGGTCTCCGTTGTGTAAGTGGCGTGGATTTGGATCGTCAAGATGTGAGCTGGCGAGCTAGGTCGGCGAGGAGACAGCTTGGCGATACATACACCAGGATTGGGCGCGTCAGGAAGAATGCGGGGTACCCAACCACACCAGATGGGTGGGCGGGTGCCTCTTCTTAAAAAGGGACGGCCTGGCCTGATGGTCCCCTAAAGTGTAGCCTAAAGCAAGGGAGCTTCTTTCGTGACACTTGAGACATGTCGAGTCGCGTCATGACGTCGTGCCGAAGACGCTGAGGGCACGACCAACGGGCGAGGCCCTTCGCCGGACTGGACCCGGCTGAGGTTAGGTCGTATCGGTTGCCGGCTAGAAGCCCCCAGACTGAGACTTTCCAGTTGCTGGCTAGACCGCTGAGCGAAGTGCCAGTACACTCCACAACGAAACTATTTTGGTCCCTCGTTGTCGGTGCGCTAATTTGCTTCTTCGCCTATACGAGGGGGCCGGCGTCTCCTACCCAGCCAGGCCTTCGTGACGGGGAGAGGAAATGCCAGTAATGCGCTGCTGTTGCCTGTCGCAGAAGATAAGGTAGTCCCTATCACAAGCATTCTTCATTCCCACTGTCGCACGCTGAGCACGTCACCCCAGTCCTCGGCTGGTGTCCAGAATCTCGTGTTCTCCCTTTGTGGTTGGGCAGAAAGAGGCATCATTTTCGGTACTAAGCTCAAGACAGAAATTTCCTGGTATGCATCGGCTCCTTTGGGATCATGTCGGATTGGATGGTAGCGCAACGCCGGGGAGGCGGCATCGTTGACCATGACGCACGCTTCGTTTGTGCACGTGTTTGTTGTTGTCGAGAGGAGGGAGTTCTTCGTCTCCCAGCGTCTTCGCTCTCGCTCTCGCCCTCGCCCTCGCCCTCGCCGTGGCATCATATTTTTCTTCTTGCCGGATTCGATGCCTGAGTTGGCGTACATGCTTAAAATGTTTCCATAAGCCAAACATGGCCACGATGTAACACAAGTCGCGGCCCAGCAATTTCTGGCGGGCGTCGCTGCGGGGATGTCCTCGTAATGTGTTGTGGACGATTCGGTACATGACGGCACTTCCCTTTCGAGTCTCGTGACGCGAGGTCACCATGTCCTGAAGGGGTGATGCATCTCGTGCTTTTTTACGATGTGTTGCATTGCGCAAGTACTCTTGAAGAAGTCTCTGTGCTAGGGCTTATCTGGCACCTGTGAGGTTGCGTATGGGTTTTGTTTGGCAGGGCTTGAGTCGTAATGGGCTTGCTAGGGACTGATGATACTGGAGCTTTCGAGATGCTTGGTAGATGGTATTCTTGGCAGACACGTGGCCTGCTAGACATGTAGAGCTCAAGGTCGGTATGGTAGCGGACTGGAGGGTGGGTGAAGATGACTTGGCAGGTAGTAGCGCTGCCTTGGGTTGTCCAACGACGTGGCATCGAGCTCCACTCCACGTGGCTGGTTGTTCCTTCTTAGCATGACTTGACATGGAAAGGCCCCTGAGGGTTCCAGGATGCCCGAGGATGCCCGTGAGCCATCCGCGCTTGCCGACATTTCAATCGTCACTTACATCCGTCAACGATGATACATTCTTTATTTTAGGCATCTTAAGGTGCCTAGCCCTACCTCAGACGAAACCTTGCTCACTCCTCACTGTACAGGCTCAAAAGCACATGCTTCAAGAAATAACAGTCTTTGTTGCAGCTCGTATGTCAGCCTTATTTTCGTGAGGGCTCCATTTCCCTCAAAGCATGTCCTTCGGCTCCTGACTCTTGTCACGAGGGCCTCAACCACTGACTTGACACTGCATCAGGCCGTCTTGGCCCCCTCCGGATCATGGGCCACCACAGCGATTTCCACTTTCATGGCTTCCTCCCCGAGACGTGGAACCCCAACACACGTCCAGATCGGTTGGTGATCGGGCATGTACTTGGCCAAATTCCGAATCATGGCAGCCGGCGCCTCGTCGTCGAGCGGCACATGGTACGAATCGACCCGGAAGACCTGCGACCAGCCCTTGCCGCCAGCGTCCTTGAGGTTCTTCTCGACATTGGCGAACGCACAGTCAATTTGGGCGTTGATTTCTGTCTCGAACGTGCCGTCATCGTGCCAGCCGCCTTGCCCCTCATGTCAGAGAGCGAGTTCGTGAACGAGGAAGATGCAGCGTGCTCGATGCCCTCTTGTCGAGATGTGTTGGGAGACTCACCCTGGCCGGAACATTAGATTCTGTCACCAACGCGAACTGCTTGACTATATTTATACATCTCTCGGTTCCGTACACCGACGCCCTCGTATGCGTAGTACTTGAGGTGAGACATGTTTGCTGCTGAGCGATCTGGTTTGAGATATACAAGAGAGTGCAGATTTCCATTGTCCAAAGGAGATAATGTCAGCTGAAGAGCTTCTCCAAGCCAATTTATACAAGTGCACATCAGGCTCGGGGCTAAGTCATGATCTCATGGCCCCAAGGCCCGAATCCAAAATCGGAAAGAGCTGGACGCCCCAGTGACTCAACCTTGTCTGGCAGGTGTAGTCCTCTACTGAAGCGGCTAGTTTTAGAGATTTGCTTGCATGTGCCATGACAACCCGAGCAATCGGGAACAGTGTCGTCGGTTGCTCTACACTGGGCAGCCCGCCCCTAGTTTCGTTCGAGACACGACTTACCTGACGATACCCACTTGCTTGGAGGAGGAGAATAGCGAGCGGCTCGCCGAGCAGCTCATCAACTGCATTCGGGGAGCGAGAATACTGTTGCTTGGTGAGATTGGCTAAGTCATGGACCCCCTAGGATACCCCCTGTTGTGGTCAAGGTCAAGCCCAGCCTTGACCTGAAATAAGCACACAGTAGTAGCACACGTTCAAGGCACCAGACAGGCAGCACGCATTTTCAAAAGCCAAATTGGTATTATCTTCGAAGCGAACAACAGCTGCAGACCACATGCCTCTCTCTCTCTCTCTCTCGATCGAGGCGCGGAAGAAACGGGGGCCGTATTCACAGTCCAGCCCGGATGATCGTACATGTCCAGAACACCGCCACTCCGCGGCTATGAACAGCAAAGCCCAATCCACACAAACTCTCCGTCTTGCCCAAAGACAATGCAAGAGTGAGATTACCCAGCCGACTGGGTATCCTGGAAGTCCGACCTTCCATCACCTCGAGAACACCACATCTTCTTCCGCCCTCTCGATATAGGTCGCGACGCCCAAGAAAGAAGGAAAAGAAGACGGCGCTGGAGAAATCATAGTCCGAAAAGGGGGGACAGGATAATTACAAAACAAATCAAGAAATAAACACAGTGGTGTCACGACACCGGGTATTGCCACTCGCCCGTCTCCTCATTCATGTACCCCATCCGCCGCACCGTCTCGAGAAAGTCCTATTCCTCGTCGACGGCGCCCATGAGCCCGTTGCTCCGGCTGCTCTTCTTGCCGAGCTTGAGCATGCTGAACCTCTTGCGGACGCTGCCCATCTTGGCCAGCCCTGGTGCCTGGTTTCCGCCGCTGCTGACGCTCGCTTGAGACCGCTCTTCGTGCCTCTCTACTGTGCCACTGCCCGTGCCTGTACGCGATAGCGTGCGCAGGTCTGAGCTGCGACGGCCACCCGAGTCTGTCATCCAATCACCAGTGTCTGCGGGTGGAAGACTGGGGAGGACTGGTGCATCGGAATCGTTGCTCCGCAATATGCTGCGACGATTGCTGCTGTGGTCCTTGTCGAAGTTCTTGCTACGCACACTTGCCGAGTCAACCTCACCTGCACCGTAATGGTCCCCATTCGTCAGTGTCGGCGTGGCTGGCTCCTTCTTTCGGCCACCTAAGAAGCTGAGACGGGCTCCTCGTCCCTGTCGAATCGAGACAGGTTGGACAGAGGCTGCCTCCTCCGTGATAATGCCGTTGGCCATCGCCATTGTGACGCTTTGAGGGCGCGGTGACGAGATAGACGGAGAGGATCCTCGCCAGGTCGGGGATGGGGCAGCAGTCACCTCGTGAGACGGCTGAGCAGGCGCGAAATGGGCGATTTCGGGAGCAAAGGTTGAGACAAAGTCTATGGCACGTTAATACAAATCTTAGACGCGGTACGGGATCATACGTACAATTCATAAGCTCGTCGTGTCGGCGGCGGAGCATGTCGTTGGAGCTGCGCGAGAAAGTCCCGAGACACCTCTTGATCATGATGGCATGATCCACCAAGGCCATGCGGATGGCGTTGTCTTGTGGACTGAGCTCAATGTCTTCGTCATCCTCGGGTTCTGGCAGCAGCTGGCGGTAGCACACAACACTGTTCTCCGAGTTTGGATTCACCGAGACACCAACAGCATCGAGAAGCAGCTGTGCGTTTTCGTCGTCGCCCTCGGCAATCCGCTTCTCGACGATTGTCATTTCCTGCGTCTTGCGGACGATGCGCTCCAGTCCCGTCTCCCACGCACTGAGCTTGACTTCGTAGGCACCGACTACCTCGCTGCGCCGCAAGATTGTTGGGAACGGGTCGGCTGTTGTGTAGACCACCTTCTCCGCAAAGTGTTCAGCCACAGGCCCAGTGGTGTTGCGCCTCGATGACACAGAGAAGCTCTGGGGATGGGAAGAGATGAGATAATCCCGGATGACTTGAGGTACGCGGGCTCGCTGGAAAACGTGGTGAGATAGGTCACGATGGGGAGAGATGGCGGAGATGACCAAGAACTGGCCCTCCGAGTCATCGACATCGCCGCCGGTAACGATTTGGGCAGACGGATATTGCTCTTGCATGCGATCGGTGAAGGCGGATGCGCGTTCGGTTGGTGAGCCTTCATACACGTACTGTTTGTCGCGCAGGCCAGCCGGGAACCCGAGCCCTTTGTACACTACCTTGAAGTACTTGGGGACAAGTTTGTCGCTTTTGGCAATCGTCTCGTAAATCTTGGCAATCGCGCGTTCCGTTCTTGCGAGCTTCGAAAAGTCGAAAATGTTGGTCTCGTACTGAACCCGCAGCTCCTGGTATGCAGTGAGTGCACTGCTCCAGGCCTCGCCGTCCTCAAAGTCCTTGATCATGTCGAAGTAGATTCGCTCCTTGCGCTCAAACTGTGACTGAGTTGGGAATTCGGGGTCGTGAAGTGCAATAACCTGTCGTGTAGGATCCCAGTCGTAAAGGTCAGCATGGAGGCGCAACGCCAGCCCAGCCTCGGTATGGTTCCTAGACTCGCGCTGAAGGAGAGCCAATTGGTGGACGTAGCGGATGAAGATTTCCTCTTTCTGCATGTCTCGAAGGAACTCCATCAGGCGGAGACGGTTAATCATATGAGACGCTTCGCCGGCGACGTCACCGCTGTGTACAGCCACAAGAAGTTCAAGGAACTCATCCACAGTGCCGACCATCTCGCGAACAGCAGCGTAAAGCGGTTCGTCAGGGATTTCGGACAATGGGTCGAATCGTGCCTGAAGCTCAGTGACAAAGAGCTTTTGTAGGATGCTCTCCGTCAGAGGCTTCGACTTGAAGTATAGATCAAGGCAGTCAATCATCTCCGTCTGGACGACAGAAAGATCCTCGCTTAGGGTCCACTCGCTGACGATCATGGTCTGCAGTACTTCAACCGCCATCCGCCGAAGTCCTTCATGCACACTAAGGCAGAGCTCGACGATGGGGCCAACGAGTGTTGGAACGTACTGAACTTGATAGCCTCCCATCTTTGTGAGGCCGTAGCGAGCTCGCTCTTCAATGCTGGTGTCCCAGCCAATGGCCTCCCACGTACGGCGTAGCAGCTCAGCACCAGATTCCCGGACATCCCCAGCAATCTTCCAAACGGCGCGCCTCTTCTGCTCTGGGAAGGTCTCGAGAGCGAGGCCTGGGCTGCCGACAAGCTTCAAAAGTGTCGTGAAGAACATCTTCCACAGCTCCGTGTTGAAGTTCTCTGCGTCATCGGGATCAGGAAGGAACGACTCCAGCATGATGTTCGAGAGGTATTGCAGGGTTTTCATGATGGACTTGTGGTGGTAAATATGCACACTCAACCAGGTCGAGGGGAAAGCCTGGCCGCTGAGGATGCTCATGAAAACACGGAGAGCGTTCTCAAGCAGCACAGTGAGGTCTGCCTCGCCAAGATCGAGCTGCATGCCGGCAGGAGAGTTGCAGAGGGCTGAGAGGATAGCAGAAAGCTCGATGAGAGTCTCATCGTAGGTGATTTCATCGGCAACAGTCTTACTCGGGAAAGGATAAGACATTGGGAAGAGGAGGGAGAGTCGGTTGCGTGGCCGCGAAGGCACAGCTTGGATCGACAGGTAAGAGTCGATAAGCTTTGGGATGTAGTCAGGAATCTCTGGCCCTAAGGTACCGACCTGAGTTGCCAGGATCGAGCAGCACAGCCGAACCTGTTCTTTCCAGAGGTCGGTCACATTCTCCTTGTGGCCCCAGTGAGGTTCAATCCACCTAACCGTGTTCGTGCTGAGCGCGGACTTCTGTTCAGGATTGGAGAATATGTCGAGCTTGGAGTAGTTGATGACCAGGATGAGTTTGTACAGCACAAGCTTCCCCTTGACGCCAGCACAAGAGTCCATGAAATCGATAGCAATGTGCAGGATTTCCTCTGGAGTGAGGAGTCCAGCGAGCTCGGGAAGCCAAGTGTGAAAGTGCTGCACTGCCAGAGTCTGGCTGCCAACCAGGAGAGGGGCATTGTTGCGCATCATCGCATCCAAGGCCTTGAAGATGGTGCGGAGATGGCGAGTAAAGCCAGTTGTTGAGGACGTGATACCTATTCCGGCCTCTTTGGCTTTCTGTTGACCTCTGGCGTGGGTAATGAACTTGAGAATGTGGCGGACGACCTTGAAAGTGGACCGAAGCTTTCGTGACGTTTCGGGCTCCGTGGGCTTCTCTAACAGACGAGTGAAGGACCGAACGAGACAAGGTGTAGCAAAGGGGTAATTGAAGCGGCTCTCGGCGTACTGGTCTACCAGGGGGCCAAGGTTGAATCTGCGATCGTGTACAATGCCGAGGACCCTGACAAGCGCGGTGAAGACTGAGTCTTCGAACTCGTCATTCCCAGCGTATTCGACCAAGATGCCGAAGAGTGCGTCCAGGACGTCACTCAGGAGCTTCACAACTTCAATCTCGGGCACAAAAACGAGGTGCTTCAGAAGCGATGGGACCTCTTCCTTTGATGCTTCTTTCCACTTTAGAAGGCCCAGAACAATGCGGTCCTGCGAGAACCGTGTGCTGCAGAGGTAAGTGTCAACGCGAAGCGTTGCCAGTGGTCCCGTAACTTCGGCGCTTTGTTCGTCGTTACCCCTAGCGCTCCATTGCAGCGATAGGTAACCACCCTTTCCAGTTGGACCAGCCTGTGCCGTCGCTGTGTAATCGTCGATTTTGTACAGTAAAAGCGCGTGAGACCCATCCCGGAGGAAGGCCTCTTGGTTCCAGAGCGGCATGAAAGCAACGGCAAAGGGGGACCCCGGCGAGTCGGAGAGGAGCATGACGATATGTGAGGTAAAAACGTCTTCAGGGGACACCGAGAGCCTGATAGTTTGGCGCCATGCTTCCCCCCTCTCAGCAGCAAGTGAACGCCACGTGGAAACACCTTCTGTATTCGATGACGCGAATATGCAGTTCTCAATTCGTTGTCCAGAGGTTCGGCGCACTTCGAGTGTGAGTTGAAGATTGTTGGCATGCACGTTGCTGGAAATCGTCGTCGGGTTGCCTCCATAACGTGACAGAAGATTCTGTCTCGATAAAGCGGCTTGGTCGAGCGTCACATATATGTCCGACCTCGGCTTGGTCGGTGCTCCTGAGAAGCCAATCTTGGCGGTCTTGCAGACACCAGCAAGAAGGGTCGGCGTGGCCTTGATGAGTGCATCGGCATCAGGATGGTTGAAAGCCTTTAGTTGGACTTGTACGCGCTCCGCCCTCCTGGACCTCTCATAGTGACCAGACTTGCTGTCCATTAGCTCACGAACCAAGGTGTCCCACTCTTCGCCGCTTTGCTTGTCGGAAAGATAAGTTGGCGTCGGCGACCATACTTTGAGCACCTGCTCGATCGAGTCGCTCTGCTTCATGATCGAGTTCAGCCTCAGAACACCAATTCCCACAGTTCGTTCAGCCATCAAGTGTGAGTCTTGGTTACCGTCGAGGGAGCCGTTCCGTGATCTTGACCCGGCAGTACTGGGTGGCCGTTGGCCATCACGACTTTCTCCATTCGTGGGGGGCCGCACGTCGCCTCGCTCAGTCACCGAGTCCATCTTGTTCATCTGTCCGCCGCGAGAAAACCCTGTTCTTGAACCTTTGCTGCCCCACATAAGACTTCTCCTAATTGTCCTGTTGCCGCTCGCTGAAGGGGGTTTCGTAGGGTCTTGCTGCTTAGACGGTTGAGATTTGGATCCAGAGCGCGACTCAGGCTTTCCGCCACCAATAATTTGCTGCGTAGCTCGGACCTTGACCACAAGGTACAACTCCGACTCAGCGGATGGCGCATCGCCAATGTCTTGAGCAGAAAGATCTGCGAATAGTGTCTTCAACTGGCCTGACTTGGCCAGGGTGCCCAGCGTGCCTCCGGGAGGGATCTCGATCATGAAGCATTCTGAAAGTGGAGCGGGCGAGCCGCCAGGCGCCCTGGATACTAAGTAGACCGCAAGCGATGTCTCTTCGGTAGAGGCACCAGCAAAGCCCTTGATTTCGACCAGGACGTGGTGCAGCGCAGTCAGCTCGACAGTTGGCTGAGGAGGTTCGTCAAGAAGGCTCATCAGGGACTGCAGCTTTGTTGTCTCCACTACTGAGTCATCACCGGTCAAGACACGGCCTCGCTCCTTCGGATCGCGAACAATAACTTCGCCGCCACAGAGCTTGTTTACCCGCACAAGGTCCCAAACCGTCTTTTCTCGAAGGCGCTCGTACTCGTGAGTCGTCAAGACGTTATGGAGAAACTGTTGTCGGCTTAGGTTGAGGGAGGTGACAAGGCGCGAAAGCTCGTCCAGTCGCGAGTATTGCCGGGAGAGGAGGAGCTCATGAAGGTTCGTAGAATGCCATTCTCGCAGGCAGCTCGCGATCTCGTCGATCAGAGGTTCTCCAGCGGAGGTGGGTGTCTCGTCACCAATCTTGAGCATCGGCACAGGCGCCGCTGGGCGTGGAGCATCCGGGTTCCGTACAAGGGGAATTGAAAGGCGGCCATGAGTGCCGTTGGTGAGCTCCCTCAGAACCTTGCGCCCCTTGTCGTCTGTTCTGGAGCTCCGTGTGCCTGTCTTATCCCTCTTCCTTGTCTTGTCGGTGTTGCCCGCCAAACCACTCTTACCAGAGTCACTCTCGATAAAGTGCTCTGTGCCAGCATGATCGTCGCTGGCGACATCCTCCTCTTCGTTTGTATCATCTGTCTCGCCCAAGACCTCGCGAACCTCGACACAACTCCGTGGGAAAATCCCGCTGAAGACGCGCGCCTCGAGGGTTTGGCCCTTGACAGATGTGAGTCCTGAAAGCAAACTAGGCGGGGCTACGAGATAGCCGCGCAGCCAGTTGCCATCCGGAGTTTCCTCAATAATATACAACTCGTCGCCGATTTCGAGTGGCAGGTCGGCAGGGCATTGCGCAGCAAACGGATACGTCGCAACGGCGAATGCGATCCGAAGCAGCGGCTGCCAGGGCATTTGTAATAGAA